ACTGACGGGTCAAGAGACAACAACTAATAATCAACCAACAGACTAACTTCCTGAAAGCTGGTGCTAAATATCAATTATGACCGGAAGCTGGTAATTACTAATTTATTTCCCCACAATCTTTAGAGAGTAATTGGATTTCTGAATAGAAATATGAATAGGATGGAGGAAAACAGCTCATAAACAGTGGTCAGTTTGATTTCTCTCAGTCAAAACTTGCATGCTGACTTTGCATTTGTGCTCTCCTCAAATGTTGATTTATACAACTGCAACTACTCACAACCACCAGTTTCTAATTTCTTATTAACCCTGAATAAAAACAGGTTGTTGCAAAGAATAAAATAATTAATATCACAATTGTTATTACTGCTCTTATTACAGATGTTTTGTGTTATTGCTGGTGAGTCCTGACCTTTGTATTTTCCTGTTAAAACATCGTCGAAGGAGAAGCCGATGATGTCACTGCTGCCAGTCAGAGCCACCGTCCTCCTCTCTCCCTGCCGACTCACTGGCTGCAGGGTCACCGACAGGTCGTCACAGGAGGCTGGAGGTCAATCAGAGCACACGAGCTCAGTGGAAAGGTGTCGTAGTTTTACGGGGTTGAAGCCACACTTCTGACAAAGACTGTATTCTAAAAACAAATGTAAATGGAACAGGTCCTCACCTAAACAGTGGACATTCCCAGAGACAGAAGCCATGAATTGGGTGAAAAGTAGGTCTGTGAGGGGCTGGTCCACGAGGGAGACCTCCAGGGCCTGAGGCTGCAGAGCAAGGCCCGCCTTCACCTCCGGCTCAGGGAGTGATACCTGAACACGGTGGAATATAACCAAAGTTACCTTGTAGAGATCAAAGCTTTTAATCTACTATGCAAGCACTGAAATCAATCATATCTCTAGTATAGTAATAATATTGGCAATCTGAAAATCAAGAGTTGAAGGGATGCTTCTCGTTCATTTAATTATTAACTGAAACTGTGGGCTAATCAAATGTCGGTTTTGAGATATTTTAGTCAAATTAGTGAACTTGAGACGGACAACCTGAGAGCTTTAAGTCTCAGCTGCCGGCTGTGGCCGGTGCAGAGGCATAATAAACTAGATGCTGTCAGTCTTACATGGACACTGTAGTCTCCAGGTTTGGCCTGGAAGCAGAAGGCCCCCTGCGGGTCGGAGTCGATGGTCTTGCTGGAGGCCTTGTCTTGGCCCTGGTGTGTCAGAGTGACCTTGTAGCGGCCCTGCTGCTTCATGCCCTCAGGCAAGCGGCTGATGGAGATCTGGCCACACACACTGAACCTGGTGTGGGACCGACAAAAGCGTTTAGATCAAGCTAATTAGCAATGTGGTTGTATGAAAAACAAAGCTGAGAGAATGTATTCAGGCCAGACGTACCCAGCTGTGATGATGTCAGGGAGTTGGGGTGTGTTGGGGGCGATCTTCACTGTGATTGGCTCAAACAGCATGAGCTTCTTGCTGACGCGGATGGTGTATGTACCAGCCGTCATGTTCTCCAACCGGAAAGAACCGTCCTCCTTGCTGACGACTGTGAGGACAGAACAGCAGAGTAAGCTGTAGTGTTACACAATATTTAGATACTTTTGTTGCTTTTCAAACTAAAGCATGGAGTCTTCTAGCACGGCTACCTCTCATCTGATTGTTGAGGGACACCGTGGCATCGGGGACGCCTTCCCCACCGACACTGTTGAGAACTCGGCCGGTCACGGAGAAGCCCATGACACGGAAGATGGGCTGCGTGAAAAGCAAACGAAACGGCGTCACATGACAAAAAGTGGATAAAATGTAGTCGCAGTCACAAGATAATGACAAACACTAAAACTAGTATTGAGATATAATTGTATTCTTTACCTCCAGCTTCAAGCTGTTGTGTTCCACCTTGAAATTCATCCGAGAAGGAGCAACATCAAACGTGATCCTTTCTCCCCGGTAGAAGGGCACCTTAAGGGAAGGAGGTCACAGGAGGAGAAATCATCTATTTACAAGAGATGTTCAAGTTAAAATATCATGAAGTCTAATTGCGGCTGCCATTGGTGTCGCCAAATCAACCAGGAGTGAAATCTTAACGACTACAGCTTTAAGTGAAATTAGAAATGGCGACGACCCTTCATCTGCTCTTCACAGAGAGCTTACCACGGTGTACTCGCCGCTGGCCAGTGAGGGGAAGACGAAGGTCCCATCTTCCCTGGATAGAGCGCTGCACAGGTAGACCAGGGAGCTGTCTCCAGAATCCGCCCCCTCCACTGGAGATGTGTTACAGCCCCCAACATCCTGAACACACATAAAATAAACATGGAGCAGTAACTTAGTTTTGTGGTTATAATTAACCCAAAATCATCCATTTTGACTCCTCGCAGTTTCTATAAATATGAAATAATAATGTTGGTTTACCTCTTTCTTGACTGTGGCCGAGTACAGCAGGAAGGTGACCTCTTTCATGGGCTCTCCGTCACTGCGGACCTCTCCCGAGGCATCGTAGCCTCCAACCACCAGATGGTCGACAGCCGGGGCGTTGGCGTTGGACACGAGCACTGAGGTGGTGCTCTGTAGGAAGACGGAAAATGTCAAAAAAAGTGTTCAATTTTGCACGAAATCTCTGTAATAAACAGTTTTACTCCAAAAATTGCTGCAACATCTTCTGAGACATAAGTGAGCATGAGAATGGCATCATATGGTTCCACCATAATGTCCTATTTATTTTAATTTATGACAAGAACGACTTGACAAACTGCTGAGCTGATGTATACTACTGTGTGGCATAAACTGTTGACGTGAAATCTCCCCCAAAATATCCCCAGTGTTCCCCCTAAAAAAAGATAATTAATGTTGGGTTCACAGGAAGGTTTGCTAGCTCATCACTCCACAGACTTTCTAGCTTCAGTAAATGACAAAGCAAACCGAAAGACCGCCACCTGAACTCAAACGTTCCTTAAAAAAGGCTTTGGCGACATCACATGTGATACATTCATGTTTCTATACAGTCTGTGCGTGTTGAGAAGGTCTAATGAAAACCTGAAGTGAAGGTACCGACCTGCTCTAGAGTCCAGGAGGGATGAGCAGCTGTGATGTCATAATGTCCAGGGAGTACTTTTAAAAAGGTGTACCTGTTTTAGGAAGACCAAAAAAAGGAAAGCCATTGAAATAGCGAACAATTTAAGAGACACATGTTTACTGCAGAGTAACTCGTGTGAAGCCTTAACAAAAAGAACAGGTGAGAGCCACTTACTTTCCTCCAGGCTGTGTGACGACACTCTGAAGTCTCTCCTCGGTTCCCGCTCGGGTCAGTCTGACTTCCACACCAGCCGGACCCAGGAGATGGCCTTTACTCAGAACCTGAAGGTGTGCAGAGAAGCTTTTAGGGTGTTCAGGACAACATGTGTACATTAATGAGGCACGAAATCCTTCAGACTTCTCACCGTTCCTGAGACTGAAAAGCCAGTGAAAACAAAGTTGATGTCTTCTTCTTTTGTGCAGATGTCACTCACTCCATCCACATGGAGGTCAACACTGGTTGGCTCTGGTGAGAGTTAAGACCCAGATGAAGCAAGAACATAAATAATGCAAACATCCTTGAAGCATTTTCGTGGACAACAGCTGGGCTTAAACGAGATTTGGTCAATTTTGAGGGTGTGGGTGTTTGTGTAATCTTACCAAAGCTCCACCCAAGAGGCGGCTCGATCTTCAGAACAAAGTCTCCCTGTGTGAAAGAGACACGTGTGTAGATTACAATCATCACCAGTGGAACAAAAAGAAAGTTAGAAGTTCTCAACGGAGTGAATCTCATACCTTGTCATAGAGAGGGATCATGAAGTAGCCATTGATTGGAGCACAATCCGTTTGATATTTCAAGGAACCTTGTTTGGTGTACAGTTTGATCTGATCACGAAAGAAGACAGACCATGATCATTAAATCATTCTATTAACTAAACCTTATCTGCTATAACAGGGGTACGGTCTCTGTCGCTTTAATGCGACGCTGATTGGCTAATTGGTTGAGTAATTAGTATCAGCTGTCATTCACAAACGGATCAGTCTATCTGGGATTTAGTTAATGTCACCAATTAGGCAAATGGCTAATCCGATGGAGCCTGTGAATGAGCAAGGATTAGGACTGTTAGCTAGTTAGCATTTAACGTATTCCTGCTCAACAGACGGGTTTAATGTTTAAGAGTGAACAGCGTTTAACACAAATAACGTATAACAGTAATGTAATATATGCCAACATAATGGGGGTTTCAGTAAACCGTGACCGCGTAGAGAAAACGTCCGCAGTAGCAAACTAGCAGATAGCTACATTGACGTAAAAACAACGTCACATACATTGTCTCAATTTTGTGTTTGCTAGCAAGAGAAAGCAGCCGTTGAGACAACGTGAACTGCAGTCGTGGTCATTTCATTCAAACTGCCAGTCAAGCAAATCTCCGCCTAACCTTTAGCTTACTACGATGAACCAGCTAGCTGTTAGCTAGCAGCTAGCGAGCCACTCTCACCTCGATCAGGGAGTAGTTGATCTCAACGTCGGATTTCACAAACCCCCCGCATGCCACCACTATGTCATCGGAGGACACGGTGGAGAACTGGGTATAGGTGATGCAGAATAACAGCCAAAGGGCTCCCACGTCTGCCCGGATCGTAATTCTCAACATCTCTTGTTTTGTTTTTTTTTTTTAGCTGACTGATCTCTAGATGAGCAACAGCACGCTGCCTCCGGTTCCGTACCAGCTGAGCTGCTGTCATTGTCAGAGCAAAGCGCCGGGAGCAGCGCCCTCTGCTGGCTCGGAGGTAGTACAGCAGCGAGACCGTTATGAGGTAAAAAGAGGAAATAAAAAGATTGAAGATTGTTTTGACAAATTTCAGCATTTATTTTCCAGTCACCGCAGTTATACAAAACGCGTCATAATACAGTAGAACAGCATTTATTACCCAAATCTGACCAAAATAGTATTTTTACACACGTTATATATGCGAGTAACAAAAATGGTCAGTTTTCCACCCTTTCCCAACTTAAATGTGGATTTACATGTTCAGTGATCCACACTTTTCAAGGACTGTTGCAAAAGTCAGAACATTTAATTTGATATAGAACAGTTGTTATCAGAGGTATTGGGAGTGAAATGAAATTGTAATCCATCCACTTGAATACAAGGATACCTAGAGGTATCCGCCGAGTTGGATTATCCTTTTGGATATCCAATGGTATCTAAGTAACTTATACTAAATCACTGGAAATCCCCCATAACACTGGAAAATAGGGAAGAAAATAATTTTGTGTGTGTGTCGTATGTCATTACGATTCTTGGTTTTGTTTGGTAGGTGAGGGAAGTGTATATGATGTAGACTTTATACACAGTCACAGTGATGGTTAAATGGTGACATGATTACAGATTAGTACTTTGAAATACATTTGTTCTTTGCATTATTATACACCCACAGTGTTTCTGATAGTGACAAATGGTAAAAACACACAAGACGCAGCATGAACACACTGCAATGTCAACACAAAAGTTATAAAAGTAAGAAAACACTAGTGTTAATACATTTAAAGTGCATACAATTCAGAATGATTTATCAAACTCCAGTGGTTATAGTGATGCAAGTCCTTCTCAGAAGGAAAAGATGCACGCCGCAGCAAAAAAACACCACAAAACATCTGAGCAGCAATGATCATTCTGGTTTAAAAATACTTGAACATTGTGGCCTCCTAATAGTTTCATGATAGTCAGACTGTCAACAAAAGAACACGGAAAAGACACAACAAATTAATGTAAGCCGGTCTGTAGCAGCTCACATCATTTAAGGTATTACTTTGGTTTTAAAATCCGGTCCGTCTGTCCAGTCTCTGCTTTGTTGGCGTGTAATATCAGGCCCCTGCCTCACACGTGTGTGGAGGAGTCAGGCTGCGAGTGTGCCAGAAACACACCTTCATTGAAATTGTTGGAGAAGCTGGTGTGATAGCTGGGGCTGCTCCTGCTGCTGCTTCTGCGGGGCTGGGATTTGGACACCGGGGATTTGATGGCTGAGAGCCTCTGGGCCTGGCACAGCTTTTGGATCAAGAAGCGCTTGTCACGGCCGTCCTGGGAAAACAAAATAAAACACAGAAAGTAGATCCCAATTTATTTTTGTAAAAACTCAAATGCTAATCAAGCCGGGTCGATGTATGATTAAGAAAAGAGAAATAATAGAAAAAAGGTGAAATAAACTTAACTAGACCTACCATAGCTAGCTGCTCCCTCAGCTGGTTGATAACTCTCTTGTGAGCTCCAGCTAGTGCGATCACATAAAACATGGCCAAGCTGTACGGGGAAATGACAAAAATTACAACCAAGGAGAGGTAAGACCACTCGTTATCAACCGTTAAAATGCTGGAATACCGGACGGACACACGTACCACGTGACAACGAAGAAGGACACAGCGAAGGCCTCTGACGAGAGAGCGAAGAGGAGCGTTTTGATTCCGTGAGGCAGCTCAGCTACTGTCGTCGGCAGCACCTCCCACGACGTGTTGTAGTTAACAAACGGTCCACAGGCCCAGGAAGAGTTTATTCTGTGCACATGTAGACAGCAGCAATGAGCGACGCTTCACTTATTCTGACGGTGAAGTTCAGAAGACGCGGCCCAATGAAGTGAAGATAAAACACAACATGGTTGTGGACGGTGCATTACTCACTGTGCCACACTAAAGGTGACGGGCAGACAGGCCAGAGCCAGGCCGATCAGCAGCACGGCCAGGAAGAAGAAGTTGGAGCTGGAAGCTCGGAACGGACGTGTGGCCGGACGGCAGTTTGTTATCAACGAGACCTAAAAGAAAGAGCAGATAAGAACATCACAAACTCTGATTTTGATCTGTGTAAAAAAACAAAACAGTTTGATATATAGACCTACCTTTTTGATATAGAAGATAAAGAAGTATTTAATGGTGCAGATGGCCGGCAGAATCGGACAGTAGAAGGTGCCGATCCAGCAGATGGTCTGACCGTAGACGATCTCCAGCACATTCTGAGGAATAGCAAACTCCTGCTGGCCCCACCACTTAGCCAGGCCGCAGTCGCAGTAATTCACTATCAGCCTGAGGAGCGGGGAGCAACACAAGGACACAGTCACACATGACGGAAGAACAACGGGGGAGAAAGACCAGAGGAAAGGCAAGACGATGACGTCGACAGCCATGAAGAGACAGAATACTTTTATAAAAGTAACATGTCTCTACCTCTTGAGATGCATTAAGAACAGGAACCAGACCAGAACTAAAGAAATGCAACAATGTAAAAACGTTTCCCTCGGTTCGGTCCAAATGAACTACAGGTGTGAAAGAAGCACCTTAAGAGTCAGTCGAGATGATGGAGATGAGAACTTACTTTCTGGGAAACTCCACAAAGATGGTGACTGCGACGATGATGATGAAGTCAAAGATGGTGAGTTTGTACATCTCCTGGCCCACACGGGTCTCCCAACACTGTGGACGGCGAGGAAACAGGAAAATAAGAAGTGCTTTGAATACATCACCAGAGCGTTGTGGGGAGGTCGACCCAGACCAGCATCAGCTCCACTGTCACAGCTTAAGAATCCATTTCATATTGGAGTGACAAAGGACTGAACACATGTGGTGCTCACTCACTAACGAAGGGACCAGATCCCGATTCAGGTCATTTAATATTGATTATAGATAAATATAGATAATACAGCTGCACAGTACACACTTCCAAACACATTTAGGTTATTAAAATCAATCGGATGTTTACGATTGATAACTGAATAGCTCATGCTTTACATTGAGACATGCAGTGTGTACTTTCGTCGTCTGTACACCTTTCGTGCGGATAACAATAAGTTGTTCTTACCGGCTCCACCCGTGGTGAAGACCAGGCACGTTACATGACAACAAAACGCAAGATACTGTAATACTGAGCTGACATTGAATGAGTGCACATAAACGAGTTACATAACCTGAATACATAGTGTCACTTTGATGTTGTTTATGGAGTGTGTTGTTTCTGTCCTGCTCTTACACACACAGGAGGTCAGCAGAGCGGGGGAGAGTTGATGACGACTGCTCTAGGTAAAATAAAACGTATGTGACAGCCGATGTAAAATAAAGGATGGGATCGGGCTCAGTAATGCTCAATAACGGGTTCCGATCGATTGTAAAATGTCTTTATCGGCCCCAATACGGGACGTCCCTGTTGTGTATTGCAATGCAGGAAAGTGACTTACAGAGTAGAGCTTATGGTTATAGCCACAGATGCAGGGGTCCTCTTCACATTTAGTGATCTGAGACCAGAGAGAGAAGAGCAAAACCCCAATACTGGTCAACCGCATGAAGACACACCTGGGGACAAAGAGGACAAAACAGACGTGTATTATTATTATTCCTCTTTGTTTGCATCTTTTAATGGCAAACATGCCGCGTGTCTCCTCGTGCCATCAGGTACAGCTTCAGCAGTGAGAAAAGGGATGCGTGAGTCAGCCGTACCTCATCAACGTGAAGCGGATCTCGAACGCAGGCGAGTAGTCCTCATAGTTGATGATGACGGAGAACAGGAGGGGGGTGATGAAGTTGGCCAAGGTCATGACAATTGAGGGTAGGTACTCGTAGATGAGATCCACGATGAAATTCTCCTGCAATCAAATAAAATGTGGTTCCAAGACTCTGTGACGAGCAGTTACCCGGAGAGAAGGGTAATAACAAAAGGCCGAAGTGGAGGTCAAAGGACAGCAGCAACATGTCACTACCTTTATCTTATCCATCTGCACTTTCTGGGAGAAGATGGTGGCTTCATAAATGCTGTAGAAGCAACTAGCCAGCACGGCGATGACAAAAAGGTTGAGAATGAGGCGGAGTAGGTAAATCCGACATCTCTCCTTACGGGTGCGATCTGCTATTTTCTGTTTGATCCTCTCCTCCTCCAAATCCGTCTGGGGACAGAAGATTGTGCAATTTTAGAACGAGGCAGACAGACGAAGATTAAACATTTGCAACAAACAACTAAGGAGAAAAAAAATAAATTGGTCTAAATGCCTGAGAAGAGCTAGAAATCTTATACTTCTTCTTTACTATATATATATATATATATAATATTTTCCTACACTATGCTGCTGTTTAGGTTTACGTTGTACTCGGAGCACGTCCCACAAAACATCTTGTTGAATAGAAATGAGCCGCTGACCCTGAGCTCGTAGAGCAAGCTGCTTCTCTTCAGCTGCACTGCGTTCTCGTTGGTGATGCAGAAGTCCCAGCCAGCGAAGATCTTGTTGCAGAAGCTCTGAAAGCGATCCTCATCCTGAATCAGGTTACGTTTGAAGCCCGTGGCAGACCTTGAAGAACAGTAATTCGAAGTGTGTTAACATTTCCAGAATCTTCCAGTTCATTCCTAATGAGTTTTGTCTTTTTTTTTTTTACCTTTTAACTATCCAGACGAGGCTGAGGAACAGGTAGGCTATAGTGACCAGCAGGTAGGCCAGCGGCAAATTGTAAGTGGCCTTTGGGAAGTGTATTTTGTCCACTTTGTAGTAGCCGTAGAAAAGATAGGTCTGTTCCAGAAAGCCCTGCAGGTTAAGCACAGAAGGGGAGTAAAGAAACCAAATGCAAACTTGTTTTCCGTTCGTCCAGAACCCATTCAACTCTAAGTGAAACGACTTACTCCCCCAGACAGCAGATCTGTGATGTGCTCATGAAAGATGACCAGACCTCTCCGGGTGCTGCTTGGATAAACACTGCACACACTTCCTGCAGTGAAAAAAAACGAAACAAGCTTAAGACTACGCGATGCCTAGTTTACGCTCAAAGTTGAAACAAGCGAGCGTCCTCTCTCACCGTCATTCTGGCTGTAGGTGATGTTTCCTGAATCGCTCGGGGCGATGATGATGGGTAACATGACGAAGCTGAACATGAGCACAAAGATGATCAAGTTGAGCATGACCAGGAAGCGCAGGAAGGAGAAGTAGGACAGGATTCCTGTGCCGAACATCCCTATTGAGCGTAAAGGAGAACGGAGGGAGAAATTTACTTTTGGGACAACAACATCACAATTGGTGCACAGAAGGGTGTTCACTCATGTGTGCCATCCTGAGTAGAAATCAATGAATGCCTCTGAGGCTGAGGACAGTCCATCTCATTGTCTTTTTATCTCTCACCTTCTATCATGTGGATGTCTCCCCTCCAGAGCTTCAGGGAGCTCAGCCATTCATGGACATCATCCCTCAGCCTCCTCAGACACCTGCGGGTGCTTAGCTTCAACTGTCCAAAAGTGCTGAGCTCGCGATTCTCCTTCAAGCGCTGTGTTCTAACAGTCAAAACACATTGTTTGTTGAGATACGATACTTTTTAAACATAGGTCTATTTAACATCTCTTTTGCAGTAGTGATACTGCGGTAGTGGGTCTCGTACTCGTCTCTGCGTTTCTCGGCCATGGTCTTGGGTAGCTCCCTTACGGGTCTCTGAGCCATCTGACTCTTCTGCTTCTCCTCATTTCTGCCGACAGTGCTCGCGCCCCATTTCCCGCTGCCGGAGGAGCCGAGTCGCGCCCCCCTGGTGCTGTTTCTTCGTTTGGGGCCAGCGGCTGACGACTTCCTGCGGTACAGCAGGGACTGGTAGCTGGGGAGCTGGTCCAACAGTGGGTTACTGGCTCTCCCACTGTGATCAGTGTAGAAGACTAGAACACGTAAATATAGATGATTAGATATTATCATATTTGATAATGTGGTGCTCAAGGCTACTGTCTGATAACAGCTCTCCAACAGTTATGATGCGATTAAAACTGACACATTTTGAAAGGTGATAATCTTTCACCGCTACTGAAGGAAATTATAGTTGTAGTGACAAGATGGTGATAATGTTCCAAGACAGAGAAAACAACAACAACAACAACACAGCTGCCAACATCTGTGTACAATTCACTCATCATTCATGTGTTACAATGACTTCCCATACTTGAGACGGACATGTTGGGAGGTAGTGTTATGATTCTATATTCAATTATAAATTGTGTGTTAACATCTTGAGCGGGCCTGAATATGTCTGAGTTGTCAGATATCAGTGTTATTATGGATGCTGGGCACAATGACTGTAAGAAGCAGACGTTTCACAATGTTTAAAATGACAAGAGGATTGTGTTTATGTTTTATTAAGCACTAGTGTGCTGGTCATCATCACATTCCAGAGAGTAGCTCGTACCAGTTTATAAAGAAGTGTAACATTAAGACTAACAGTGACCGTGTTGTCTCTGTGTTCACCCAGCTCCAGTTAAAAGCTAACCAAGAAGCAGAGTCAGCAAGTTAAAATGCAAACAGCGGGTTTTATTACCGCAAACCGAACGACTCCCCCAACTGTGACTCTTTCTCAAACGATTCACTATCAGGTGCCAGCTGTCAGCCTGTTGTTATCGGCTCTTACTCGGGACTTTGAAGCTAACTAGCATCATTAGCTGGTTAGCTAATGCTGCGGTTAGTTTGAACTAACCGAGCTAACTTATTGATAAGGTCGTTAGCTGCAAACATAAGTCACTATAACTTCAACTTTACCTGAGTCGACCTCCATTGTTTCCTTTACTGGAAAAGAATATAAAAAAAAAAGCTATTTAATGAATTATATTAGTTAACAATTGACCTAGAAGTGATTGTTTCCACTGTGAGTGGACTCTCCGCTGTCAGGAAGACAACACCGCCTCTCCCCTGGTGTCCCACAGACCACTTCCTGAATGCGGATCATGTGGATCAGGAGCCGCTCACACCTCAAACCCTCTGCCTTATACCTTTATGTTTGCATTTTACTGTACCCTTTTCGTATTTTTCTTATTTTCTTCCGTCTTATTTGACTGGTTTAAAACTCTACAGTCTATTTTAAATAATTAATATGTTTATTACTCCTTTTTTAAACCCCCCTCTACATGTATAAAGTTGTGTTAGATTGTCAAAAAGAGAAATTGAACCTCTTAGAGTCTAAAATAGAGTCTAAAATTATTAAAGGGTTATACTCATCGTTTTAGTTTTGCTCTTACAAAAAATCTGGGCTCTTGCAAAAGAAGAAGATTGTTTAAAACCAGGTTAATTAAAACAGATGCGGCACAGTTTGCGTTTTGTTTGCTAAATGGGTCAAAACACTACATCTCCCATAATGCAACTCAATACTATTTATATATATATATATATATATATATATATATATATATATATATCTACTGTATTTATTGCCATGTCTATGTTAACAACTTCAATAACTGAGCACCACCATAGGTGAACCAACAGCAGATAAAACATCCCACCTTAAGTCCTGGATACCAATTAACTTTCAACCTTAGGGGTTTAATTATTTTGTCACAATACAAAGTGTCCACATGTGATTTACGTGGCCTATCCAGAGGCAGTGGACTTTTACCTTTATGAGCTCAGCACACACTTCCTGGTAACCAGACAGTCCTTCCTTGTTTCTCACTGATGGTGTTTCTCAGGCCGACTCACAGGTCGAAACAGACTAGAAGCCACTTTCCTCAAACTCTACAGCATTTTGTCAGGACTTCTTTCTGTTATTCTCCCACCACCACGACACTACCAGGTAAGCAGGGGTTGAGAACAGACCAGAATGTAGTTTGTCAATAACTTTCATCATCTGCACAGTGTTGCAAATATAGCAGCAAATATATACACTGTGTGAGCTTTTTCTCTCTAACATCCGTTGTTGATTTGTCAGACTGTAGTTTTCTGTTCGTTGTTATTCAGATTTTCCTATCTTGCCATCCTTCAGTGACTCTGTGTGAGAACCGTAGACTACTGCATGTGGTGGAAACCAAACCTATTGTATGAATTAATGATGAACAGATGAGGATGGCAACAAGAGATTCAATTACACACGCTTCCCCCCGACAATGTAGCTGTCACTCTGAGCAAAGACAGGCACTTGGCCTCAACATGTGATACTTGTTTGGGCAGTATTAAAGTTGACTTAGCCGGCTACTGAAGTCTCAATACGTCAAGTAATGAAGGCATATACTCTTATCTTTCTCGTTATAACTTAATATAAAGAGCAAGTTTTTTTGACAGTGTAATACTGAACCTGGACTATACAAACATCAACATATTGAAGAGTGACTGCGACAGGGTGAGCTGAAGGATCGTCGCCGTCTCCAAAGTAGAGGGAACGGATCGATTTGACAGATCTCATGACAAGTTACAGAAACGGAGGATTATTCAACCCTGCCTACCATGACAGCGAGACTCTGGAAATTGATCAAAGGTTTGTGGTAATAAAACATAAAATGTGCTTTTGTCATTGAATGTTCATCAGTCAATCATTTATCCTGAAAAACCTTAATTTATCAAAGAGTGTGTTTGAGTGAGTGCTGTGTCTTTACTTGTAATCAAAGGGCATGTTATGTACAATGAGGGAATGAACAGGATGTCCTCAAGGAACAGCAGCTGTGTGGTATTTATCTTCCCAGGCTGTAAGAGGGATTCAATTCATTTTTCAGCTTTTGGCTTAAAATGTTATGGTATTAAGAAAAGTTTCTAAAAAAAGACATGACAGTAAACTTCAGGGACACATATATTAGTACATTATTTTCTAGAGTGGAAACCTAATCCTGCACTTCCTTGTAGGATATTATATACTTAAAATGACCCACAGGAATAAAACAATCACCTCTATTTTAGCCATATCTATGACACTTTATCACAGATAATGATCTTGCAATTCCAGTTCCTTTCTCGAACTGATAACCCCTGGGCTCTTAAGTATTCAATAACACAAACTGTATGACCTAAACGATTTATCTGTCGCGTAACGTTATTTGTTCGGTGTGGTCTCTGTGTCTCCTAGTAAAACCCACCACACTAACCCCTACGCCAGGGGTGAGAAGCTGGACGAACATTACTCGACCAGTCAGACCGGCGGGGATGCTGCTGTGGGGAGAGAGCCGGGCTGGCAAGAGGAGAGCTGGAGGGGGAGGGAAAGCATTCCCATGGGCCTCATCTCAACGCACTCAGAGAGTCCGTCATGGCAGCATGACCTCAGTGAGTGACCAAGCTGAACTACGGAACAATAATAAGTCTGTGTGCACATGTTGATATCTGTATATACCCTCTGTACTGTATCACAGAAACAAACCAACATCATTTGCCTCTATGTTGCTAAGTGACACTTCTGTTGATACTTCTGTTGTATCGCCTCACTTCTATTCAGATCACAGTACGTTCCAATTCCCACCTGACTCACAGCATGATCAATCACCTCCTGTCCGCCTTTCTTCTGCTACGTCAGGTAATGGTTAAACTAATATTACTTCATATATAATAGGTTCTTTTCACAGTTATTGTAAGCTCTGTTATGGTATCGCTGAAAACACACACACATTAAGTTGTTAAAGTGTCAATCCTTAACATTTCGTTTAGAATTTCTATTTGAGAGAAAATAATGTAATAGTGTTTAGCAGTCTTTTTGTTGATTCATGAGCTGCATATTTCAATCTGTTTGTGTGTATACAATGAAGAAAAACTGTAATACAGCATTTTTACAGAAGTGTCTCCACAGACACCGTGTTTTATACTGCAAAGTATTGCCATACTTTCACAAGTGGGCCGTAGGCTCAGGCACCATTGTTACCTCCTTCTGGGATAGATCGTGACTTAACAGATGTTTATTTAAATGAAATTGATTTAAATGAAAATCTCCTTTAAGTGCATTACAAAACACAAATTGAAAGTAGATGTGACGTTCAGTTTGACCTGTTGACTTTGACGATCAATTACCTCAGCAAAGTCCTTCTGGATAATCATTAATGGCGGCTACGCACATAAAAGTGGCAAGGAAGACAAGGAAGTTGGGAAAGAAAATAAAACAGAGGGAAGGGGGTTGTCTTAATCTGAAGGACATAATCTAAAGGTTGTGGAAAACTTTGAATTTATGTTACATGAAGAGACATGGTAGCATACTAACACGCTAAAATAAAGTGGTGAACGTGGTAAACAACAACATACCAGTTCAAAATCAACATTATAGCGTAAGCATGTTAGCATGCCGAGGTCCAGCTCAAAGCATCACTGTCCTCACAGAGCCGCTAACATGGATATAGATTCCCTGTTTTGTTATAATGCAACTTTATTACACTGTACTTATCCGGCTATATTGAGAAGCATTAGCATACTTCCTGTGACAGTAGTCAAAGCAGTTGGCACAGTCCTCTGACTCTGGCTGTGGTGTCAGCAGCTACATAGTTTTTTATCAGGAGTAAAGATAATGTAAATTCAGTGGCACAATAGCACCCACATTAGCTCACACTGAAGTGCACTGCTATCAGCTGTACTTTCAATCAATGTATTTACAGTGGGCAAAATACACACAAAGTTGATGTGAAAATATAAAGAGACAAAAGTAAATCAATGGCAAGCTGTGGTGGGAGAGTAAATGTTTAAATGTGTGAGTAGCTGCAAGTGTTACATTTAAAAAAGCCAACCTCGATGTCACCCCTCGTGAGTTCACCATTATGCATCAAGCTCTTAGGAATATTTCTTGACGATCACTGCCCATCAGCGAAGCACATTCTTCTCTTCATGTCCGTACGTCCAGGTCACATGACAATGAGATGGAGGGGAGTGACAATGAGAAGGATGAGCCTGTTTCCTAACGGGGATCCTGCCAATGTAGCCTTCACAGAGGATGCCATCAGGAACGAGATGGAGAATGGTAAGAGCGTGTAGCGATGTGGAGAGTGACACCTGATGTACATTCTGGATGGGAGCCTGCAGATCACAGGGAGATCTTATCTTGTCATCTTGTGTGTGACAGAGGAACAGAACCTGGTCAAGGAGCTCGTTGCCCTGTCAACACGAGACCGAATTCGGGCCATTCGGGATCTTCCAATGAGCTCTGACGAGAAGAAACACATCAGGTGGGTCTTGACTGACAAGCAGTTAAAGGTTATAAGCTTCCTTGTCAGTGTTATCTCAGGTTAACGATTACACCCTGCTGAGAGCCATAAAATAAAAGTTCTGTCTGCAAAGACATGGTGGTACTGTGTTGCAATAGAGATCACTGGAGGAAAATATACGTACAGTATTTGTGCACAGACACACACACATAGACACACTGCTCTCTTGTTTCAAGGTACATTTCACAAGAAACTATTGAAATGACAGAAAGTCCAAAGGTTTTTCTGCGGCGTTGTGTCGCAATTGATCTAATTCATCAGGAGATATATACTTTTACGGTACTAATGTCATTATCACACCAAATACTGTTCTAAATTACCTCCACAGGAGCCACGTGCTGGCGTTTAAGTCTTCCAAGCAATCTCGTCAGTTCACATTTTTTGCAGACTGCTCTGAGAATGTGTCACTGGTAAGTAAACACCATACTTAAACAACTCATTGTGAGTACAGCCATTTGATATATAACCTATGTATGCTGTGTGCTTTACATGTCACAAGTTGCTCTCTCAGTCTTTCCGCAGGTGTGGCTACAGTATGAGCTCAGCCAGGCAGACCCTGGAGCTGTGGCAAGGCATCATGAAAGAGATTGGTGGCAAGTTTGGCACCAGTGTCCTCATCTATTTCGTGTTCCTCAAGTGGCTGCTCATGTTCAACATTTTCTCGTTCCTGGTCAACTTTGGCTTTATTACCATCCCGCTGCTCGTTTACGACCCCTCTCCCAACATACCTCCCAATGTGAGCTTCAGTGGACTGGAGATACTATCTGGAGC